TGACTTTTCTGTTGCCTGCAGGAAATGATAAGAAAACAAATTGCTAGCTTCTCTCTCGGGCCACAAACTCTTGAAATCCCAATTCTTGATGGTTCGGTGTAAGTTGTTATAATATGTGTAATAAATATCAAATTTAGATTTAGTTATTATATACAAGCAATCAAACTGTTGCACAATATTTGGTTCTGCATAGTTTCTTCCCTATTCACTACTATGAGAGTCTGTCAGTTAATTTCTACTTACTGGCATAAGGGTTACAAAGCAGAAGAATCTCTTGCACCCTTCTTTTTTCCCAGTTATGCTGTTAACATAGCTGATTGAAGCCTTTCAATTTCAAGCTCCATCGTGTTTAACACTCAACTTTTTCTTGCATTTTTGTTTTCCATCGCCATAGAGGGGCTACAAAGAAGCCCGTGGGCATATTGTATGTGAAGGTTGTAAGGGCGCTTAAACTTTTAAAGATGGACTTGTTGGGATCCTCTGATCCTTATGTTGAACTCAGCCTTAGCGCGGAAAGGCTCCCGGCAAAGAAAACGTCAATAAAAATGAGGAACCTCAACCCTGTGTGGAATGAGAACTTCAAGCTGACAGTAAAGGATCCGCATTCTCAAGTCCTTCAGCTGCATGTTTATGACTGGGAAAAGGTTTAATATTTATCATTTTCTTATAATTCATATATACTTTTTTCAGTTGCCATAGTTATTGATGTTAAACCATACTTTCAAATAGAGGAAGCATCATAAAAATCTAGACATTCATTCTGTTCTTGATGGAAATTTTTGAAGGTGATTTTCTTGGAGTGATCCTTGTCACTTTTTATTTGAGGAAAATACGTCGCCTAATATCCTTGGAGAAGTTCGTTACAAGGAGTGGTTGAGATACATGCTTTTCTTCTTTGTATTCATCCGAGAATAGTGCGATCAAACATCATAATAATGCTCGTGTTATCAAACAGGATAAGTTCCTTTTTCTGTTTAAAACATTTTATCATTAAATGGGTCCCTGGAAGGTCTTTTAATTTTAGACTATAATAAATCGGATTTGATATTCAGGCCAATCTCATTTCTTTTGCTAATATAACTGATTTTGGATAATTGGCAATGATTTTGTCTCTGGTTTAACAGGTTGGAACACATAACAAGTTGGGAATGCAAGCAGTTCCACTAAGATTACTCACTCCTCGTGAAACACAAGAATTTGAACTTGATTTAGTCAAGAATACAAATCCTAATGATCCTCAAAACAAGAAACAAAGAGGACGGCTAGTGGTGCAGATGACATTTAATCCATTCAAAGAGGATAATGAAAGATTTAGTGGACCTTTGGACAGATATGCAAGTAAGAAAGTGGTGTCGGTAGACTACCCAAACATGAGGGGTCCATTTGTGGAGCCGGTTTGCTTTCAGTTTTGATTCAAAGAGCTGAGGATGTTGAAGGGAAGTATCATAATAACCCTTATGCCCTGATTGTTTTCAAAGGAAAAAAGAAGAAAACCAAGGTGAATATATGTATATACTTCCTTTGCACTTTATATCAGATTGGGCCATTACTCCCAAATTGCCTTTACTGCTTTGCAAGTATGGGGGGTTTGACAGGGTCATCATCACGGTACATAGATATAGGATATGGAGCATCATACACAGTTGTAGCATCATAAAGATAGAAAGACAAGCTTTCATTTTCCTTTTAATAATGTTAAGATTTTAATATTATAAATTTTTTGTGTTCATCTTATTTCTTGATTTATTAGCAAGTCTTTATTATTTTGATATGCGTTCATCTAGCTGATCAAGAAAACAAGGGATCCATGTTGGAATGAGGAATTCCAGTTTGTGCTAGAAGAGGCACCTTTTGAAAGATATGATGCATATTGAAGTTATGAGCAAGAGTACACACTTCAGTCTCCTTCGACAGAAGGTTGGGGCATCACACTTTCTTTTCTTCTACTTGCAATGTAATATACAGTCTCTGATCTTAATTTGTGGTTTTTCTAGGAATCATTGGGGCATGTAGATATCAATCTTAATGATGTAGTTTACAATGGACACATCAACGAGAAGTACGACCTAATCAATTCGAAAAATGGTGTGATATGCATTGAGATACGGTGGGAAGTGACTTGAGAAGAATCAAATTACATAAAGATTCTTTTGGTTTAAGTTGAGCTGGCTTTGGTCTTTGCCATTCTTCTCTAAATGGGAATACTCTTTTGATATACAGTGACAAAGATATTGTGCAAATTATACATTTTTATTGCTGCATGGCACCCTATTGTCTAGATATCAATGATTAAATTACAAGTGTACAATCATTCATATGGTGTAATCTGCATATTTTTAACGTATCTGATACTGTGATCCAAGTATCTGCTAGACAATTCTAGCTCAAGCCATTCAAAAATGAAAAATAAAAATGAATCACTGTAAATAATGCATTTACACTCATAAAGTCTTCCTATCTTCACTCTACACTGTAATATTAGTAAGTTTTATTTGTGAGTGATAAATTTGACATTACAGTTGGTTCAAGAAAGACAGTCCTAAACCCATGAATAAGTTGGCTCAGTTCTCAAACAATCTCACAAAAGGAAAAAGGACAAGACAAAGCCCATTTCAACCGAAATTATAACCTTTTGTTGGGGCGTCACTCGTCAGCGCTCCTGCCTTGATGAAATGAATCAACCAAGACAAGGAAAAACGCAGGAGAAAGGGAAACCATAACTGAAGTTCAAAGCTTTTGTCAGGAAAAATATCTACCCCAATCTTTATCTTATCAACAAAAACCGACGGCCAAGATCTCATAAACATGTGATAAGACAGAGTATGGGCGGCAAGGCAGGTTGCCCTTCTTCCGAAATCCTGTCTTTTGCCTTTCCTCCTATGTAAATATCTAACTAAGCTCTTTTTCTTAAACCCCTGTCTTACAGTTTCAAAACCTTATCTTTGGGGCAAGGCAGAAACGAAGGCTAAAAGGAAAAGAAGCCATGTCTGTAACATCTGCCTCATCTCTTATACTACCATCTCTGATCTCTCAAACCCAAGACCCATTTCACTTTCCCTCTTCTCTCTTTCCCACAAGCTCCAAGCAGAGCCTCTCTTCTGTTCTGCTCTCCAAAGTTTCGAGCTTTTAACCAAAAAGTCTTCTTCTTCTGCTTCTATGTTTTTTAGGAATGTTGCTGTTTCATCTGAATATGGTCAGGAAGAAGACCTTTTCGGTAGTGATGATGGAGAAGGGGCTCCTAGTTTCTCCTCTGACTTGAAACTTTTTGTGGGTAATCTTCCTTTTAGTGTGTGGATGGTGCCCAGCTTGCTGGCTTTTTTGAGGTGCTGGAAATGTTGAGATGGTTGAGGTACTTTTTTTTTATTCTTTTACTAAGTAATGTGCCAAGTTCATGTTTCTTAAGGAGTTTGACTTGTTTTATTTTCTTTATGTTTTGGAATTGGTTGCTCAATGTTGAAATAGATAGTTAGCTAATTGAAGGGTAGTCATGATAGTATGAAACTTCAAAGAAATGCTTGTCCTTTGGTATTTTAATTAAGCATTTATTTGAATTAAAGCAATATGGACCTCATTACTTAAGTGTTGAAAGTATGGAAGAGTTTTTATTTTTTAAATTTATTTCATGATGAACGTTGAATACGAAAAAGACAACTAGCTAATTGAAGGGTCATGATATAACTTGTTCTTTGTTGATTTAATTGAGCATTGATTTGGATTGAAGCAATATGGACCTTATTTCTTCACTTTAATCATTCGTGAAGTTAAGAAACAAAATGCTCACTCCGTTTGATATGGTGAAATTATTGCTTTTGGCAGGTGATTTATTACAAGGTAACTGGGAGAAGTAGGGGATTTGGTTTTGTAACAATGTTCGCAATCAGAAAGTTGAAGCTGATGCTTAACAGTTCAATGGCTATGTAAGTCATTATTTGGAGTCATATGCTATGGACTTAATGCGTTTTGCACATTTCTTAATTGGATTTGCTTTGTCTACATGTCTATTTAAACAATGTGACTATCCTTTTTTAGTTTAGAGTATGCTTCAATGACCATTTTCTTATCTGTCATTATTAGAACAGTTTGAGGGCTGGTGTCATGTTCTGGCTTTAAAGCCTATTGTTGCAAAAGGAATTTGATCAACATCTGAAGTAATAGCATTATTCCTTCTTTCTTCTCTTTTGCAGTATAGTGGATGGGAAAAAGGGTGTTTGCAATGGCTAGTGTGCTTAAGTTTTGACTGTATTAATAGCTAGTACCCCCATAAAATAATTAAGTCATAATAAGTCCGTAGTTTTTATCAGAAGTTTGTATTCAGGTTATCATAAAATTTTCTTCTGTTTATACTTACTCGTTGCAGGAATTGGAAGGGAGGACATTGAGGGTAAACTCTGGACCTTCTCCTTGTAAGGAAGAATTTTCCCCTAGAAGAGCAGGAATTCAAATCGTGTCTATGTTGGTAACCTTTTATGGGGTGTTGATGATTTAGAACTTACGACCTTGTTCATTAAGCATGGAAGGTCGTGGAAGCGACAGTTGTGTATGACAGGGAAAGTGGTAGATCAAGGCGTTTTGGCTTTGTTACTTACTATTCTGCTGAAGAGGTGGCCAGTGATATTAAATCCTTGAATGGTGTTGTAAGACGTAAGTTGATCATTACTTTGATTTTTTATGTTTGAATGCCTTAGCAATTTAGAATCAATTACTGCATAATGGATATGAATTGATAGAATATATAAGATAGGTTATTTGGCTAATTTACACTTTCAGTATCAGTCATGCTTCTGTCATTCTATTCTGGGCACCTATTGATTTTCATGTGCATGATTTTGTATGAACTGCCACGCCCAGAAATCTATTAAGTTTATTAATGATTGCAAGTTACTTTAAAATTTTGTTTGGTGCAGGATTGGGATGGCAGACCAATCCGAGTCTCTGTGGCAGAGTCTAGGCATCTGCTAAAATTCTTTAGGTATGAGTTTTAATCTTTGGGCTTTTGATTGGTTTTTTGTTATAAAAATCTTTGCTTGTCCGGCCACATTTGGCCAACATTATACTTTCTTTATCTCTAATTGTATAAATTTCGTCATTTATCTTCATATTTTTACATTTCATCATGTTCTTGGAGATCTTTGTTTTTCAAAGCAAAAGCACATGAACTTACTCATTGATCTTTATCTTGTCTGACATTATTACATATTTTAGGGTCTAGGGAAGAGTAAGAAATGGTCCAAAAGGACAAGGCCATGCCAAGAATATTGCAGCCTACTCAGTACTCAACATTTGGAGGTTTATAACTAAGTAGAATGAATGGTCCATGAGTTAGAGTTTAGGCAGTACCCGTGCAAAATTCTCTATGAGTTTAAGTATAATAAATGAATCAAATTACAATCAAATTTGTAAGTAATACATAAAATATTTAATCCACAGACAAAAGAATCAAAAGGTAACATGCTAAAAATACCGGGAAAAACTAGTTTCCTGTTAATTGACCTTCAAAGTTCTCAATATTTTCATAGTTTTGTTGTTTGTCAACAGATGATGGGGGTGCTCTTAGATTGGAAGGCTTTGATCCTTTTGATCCTTTTGAACAGCAAGAATGTGACTTCTTATTGAAACCTAACCTTCTGGTGAAATTCCTCCAACTTCTCTTTGTCTTTGCTAGTTTCTGGAGCTCCTCTTTCATACTCAAACAATCCTTTTCAAGCTCAGAAACTCGATGCTTCACATCATCCTCGCCACCTGTAGTACGATGTTGTGCAGAGTCTATTGGATGAGACCCTTTATTTTTAAGGAGTCCAAAGTTTCCACTAGGATTTTGTGAGTTTTCAAGATTGTCAAAGAACCAACCAGAAATTGAGGTACGAAGTCGTAGTTGTTCAAAGAAGAGGACTTGTATGATTACTCGAAGAGGCAGCCTCTCATTCTGGGCTGCATGTGTGCTAGCTTCCAATGAGAGCTTTTGACAGTTCATTAGTCTGCAGATTTGCTCTCTTTCAACGTCCGTAATCCAAGAATGTGCCTGCAAATGTGAAATATATAAATATTCAGTGATTAGAACCCTTTTTACTTTTGTTTTGGTTGGATAAGTAATTAAATGGTTCATGATTAAGACCTAATAACATATAAAAGGAATCCGGGTCCAAAATTATTAAGAATTTCAAAGCAGAATTAACATAGAAATAAGCCATGAATTTGAGATAATAGTACCTTCAAGTACACATCAATTGCATGATAGAGGCCATCATCAAGTGGTCTTGCATAATCAGGGATGGTGGCAGCAAGAGTCTCAAACTTGGGAAGCTTGAAATTAACATCTGATGCCACTTCTGCTAAAAATCCATCAATCAGACTGGCCACCATTGTCATTGGTGTCAATGAATCGGATCCATTCGCTAAATGCCCCTCCTCAACTATGCAAGGAGGAGTTGCTACAGCTGCAGCGTGCTCTACTATCATGAAATGATCAAGAATCCTCTGAACACAGTCAATATCGTAAAGTGTCTCTGAGTAACCCATATTCGGTATGAGCAAGTCCACAAGTGAAGCTTGATCCAACTGGGTTCCCACCCTCTTTTCCAAATTTTCTCTGCATGATGGACTTGCATGCAATACCATAGCTGTACGAAGGAGTCTAATCAGGAACTTGGAGGATGTGACTCCCTTCTTGTTAGGAAGTAACCCTACAATCTCTTCCAAGAGAGCCCTTTGATCTGCTTCAGAAGGGTTTGAAATATTTGTTCCAGGGATTGCATCATTGAAGCTTGATTGTCTATTCATCAAGGGGAGATATCTCCTAGCATAGTGCGCCACCGATGCCGCAATGCTCTCAGGCCTCATGCCTCTTGATTCAATTGCTAAAATCAATCTTTTATACAGTGGTAAACTAAGGAATGATACATCTTCATACCACCAATCTTCGCCTGTAGGTTGTGTCTTGGTTGCAGTTGATATTCCATTCCATAAGCCTGTATTTTCAGGACTTTGCTTGGTATCTCGCCCTGGCAAAGGCCAGCTGAATAAACTTGGGTCTGCACAAGCCTTCGTGGCCAAGGAATCAATGCACCTTGAGACAATGTGAAGCTCTTCAGCATATGGCAGAACTTCTTCACATGCGTCAAGAGCTCTAATTGAATCAGCCCAATTGCCGAGTACTTCATTAAGGAAAGACTCTGTCTGCGTTATAAGATTTCCTTCTCCATAATCATCAGTCATTTGTAGGAACACTGCTGCACATCTAATGCTGACTACATTTTGTGCTGTGAGTTCTATTTTAACACCATAGCAGAATTTGCACACAAGCTCAAAGGCTTTGGCTCCACCAGGTATATCATTAAGTCTCAAACTAAAACTTGATCCATCCCCACTACAACACTCTTCAATAAGCTTCTCTAGTAGCCCACTTCTTGAAAGCAATGGAAACTGCAACAGATACCAAAACTCAAAAGCCTGCCATTTCAAAGACTAAATATAAATTAAATAACACACCTTGTGGAGATGGAAAGACATTTCTCCAATGTTAATGCTAACATCGCTTGGAAGTCCAGATGTGCAGATCCTGAAATGGAATTAATCAAGAACAATAGTTGAGATCCATGAATCTCGAGTTTGCGGTAAATCAGAATCCAACAATATTACACACTTTATCATCGCATTCTTCTTTTAGACTGATTATATCAACAAGAACAAGTAGAATGGTTGTTTAGCTTATTCACCATTTCTGCAGCTCAGAAGCTCATTTATATCAACTACTTCTCCAGATGATTAGGCACAAATTCTCTACCACCGTAACAAAAAAAGCTTGTGGATCATACCATCATTCTAGTAATAGAAAATGCAACAAAACATGTCTGATACAGACCAACATTTGTCCAGGACTTCTTGCATCATTAAAACTCCAATTTTCTTTTCAGGTAGAAGCAGAACCTCAAGAGAGTTGCAATATACCATTTTATCGCAGAAATTAATTATGCCAAGTAAAAAACAATTAAGCAGATTGTGGGGCTAACTGCCTTTAAAAATGTTCAACAATTCGGAATTAACTTAAAGTGTTTCATAACATTTTATATTGATTCAAACACATTCCTTTGTAATTCACCAAAAGTCAGAGATCTTAGAGCACGTAAATTTCACAAAACTAGCGCATTGTTTGTTGCTCCTTTCTTTTATATTTTTTAAGTATCCGTATCCAACACATATGCCGGGATATGGTATATGAAAAAACTTAAAAATTACTTGTATCGGACACATACCAGAATCTTACACTCGTCGTCTGAATACAAACTAACATATAATACATCCCAATTTTCCCATCCCATGTAAACGAAAAATGCTTACCAAGAGTGACCTTCACGGTGAAATGCTTCAGACTTAGAACCTAGCCTCAAGAATGCCATTTTATTTATTTAAAGTAGTTTTAAAATGGACAACCTTGAAACTATGAATTACTTAAAACGATAGCCAAAGAAAACAAGACAGAGAATGAATGAAAAATCCTTCTCAAAGTGAAAGAATTGGTTCTTGAAAGACATCCAAAAAAAAAAAAGACAAAAATAGTAAGTTAAAGCGAGTCTAAAGCAAAGAATTGCAGAAATATATGGAAGCATTTCCAGTTGGCTTCCTCAGGAGTTAGCACTTGACTCTGACCTCCTTCATTTTCTCATACTTTGGATTCATTCAGTTGATTCATTGTCTTCATCATTTTTATCATATCTGTCAGTTTTCAACCTGCATTTAGCACTCTTGACATGTAACAAAATTAAAAATAAATCCCTCACAAAATTCCAAAACCATTTGAATTTTCTCACAATTTCATAGATAAAGACTAGGTAATATATGATTTTTGTTGTTCACACCATGGTATATCTAATTGATGAAATGCAAATACAAATTTCTTTAACAAAATTTATTTTATGTTTTTAAATACGATAACATGTACCAAGAAAAGAAAACACAAGGATTATTATGTGTGCAACATGATGATAGAATAAAGAGTTGCAAGTATCGATATTTAATATAAATATATTATATATCATTTTTAAAATAATTATATAAATTAATTAAATTAACTTTTGATTCAAAAAATTTTTCGTTTTAGTTCATTGGAATATATATATTTTTTTGTAGTCTCATTCATGTTAAAAGGAATTTTAATATAAAGTAATTTTCGTTTTAAAAACTCATGGAAATAAATAAAAGAAGTCAATAATTGACTAATAAGCAATAACTCATGAGTCATGGAGAAGAAAAGAAATGGACTCAAATGCCTTTAACTTTCAAAGATAGACAAAAAAAAAAAAATAAAGCCGCCTGTTTGAATTATGAAAAGAAAATCCTTGTCCATTCCTTTTTTTTTTAAATAATTTGCAAGCCACCTCTTGGCCTGTCGTATTTCTCATTATTTTCAATCATAAATTTATTATTAAATTTATTATTTTTAATTTTTACCTTATTTTTTAAAAGAACAAATGGATGGACGGAATAGAATTAATAAGTTATTTTTTATTGTATTATTAAAAAGTAATTTTAATATTAAAACCTGAAGAAATAATTATAATTTTGGTATTTAAATTATAAGAAAATATATAAATTAATATTTTAAAAAATAAAATAATAATTTACATTTTAAATTTTTAAATAATATAATTTATATTTTAAAATTTTTATCATATTATTACTTCATATTTTAAATTATAAAAAATAATTTATCATTATAAAAAAACTTTTGGACCATTAATAATAAAAATAAAAATAAAAATCAAAGTTTTTATTGATTTTCCTCTGTAATCATTTATCAAAATTTCTTATAACGAAAGACAAAGAAAAAGAAAACAAATAAATAAATAAAATAAAACAAGATAACAGAGATTTGGGAGGCTGTCAAAAGTGGGGTCATGTCATAGTGACAACGTACGTCATCAGTAACCAGAAACTGACACGTGTGATATTCTTTAGTCAGAATCAGACACACATGGCGTTGTCAACATCCAAAGCCCACATTCTTCTCTCTTTTGTTGTCTTGTAGCTGTCAAGTTCGCGTGTGCCAGTTAGATATTCACATGAAATACCGTTTACACAATATCAAACCCATCAACCAATCATATTTCGCCACGTCGGAACTGAGTAATTAATGAACCTATGATTAGATTTTTTTTATTCAAATCATGACATGTTGGGCTAATTAATATTGTCTTGGCAAAATTTTATTGGTTAGGGACGAGAATTTGTTGAACAACATTACCTGTTGAAATTAATTAATTAATTAAAGTTCAACGGGATCACCTAACAAGTTTGTTAATATTTTAAAAAAATATAGTATATATCATTATAAATTGTTTTGATATATTATTTCAAAATTTTTTATTTAATATAATTATATTTATAAACGTGTATAAACTTATATATTATAATATTATTAATAAATGACAAAATAAATATGTAATATATTCAAATCAAATAAATAAATTTAAAAACATAAAAAATAATATCATAATTTTTTTATGATATTTTTGTACACTTAATTTGATCATATAATATTTAAATAAGTATTTTTTCAATATAAACATTATGATAAAAATAAAGAGATGAAAAAGATTAATCAAAACTTTATGATTGTTAAATTTTATAGAAGGAGTATAATTAATTTCTTGAAAAAATTAAAATACTTAAAAACTTTGATTTGAAAAAAATAAAAGTATAAAAAAATAAGTTAAAATAAAGAAACTCAATTTTTAGAATTACAATTAATTTTATTTTTATTAGATTAAAAATAGTTAAATAACAAAAAATAAATTAAAAATTACAAAATATATTTTATATTCACGTACTATTCGAAATATGTTATTCTATCGAAATTCATTGAAACAGACTGAATCTAACAAAAAAAAATGTATTACCTAATACCAAAATTTGTATGAAAAATTATCCTTACATATATTGTACTTTTGGTATAACTTAAGTGTATTAGTCAATATGATTGGTATCAAAATGAAATTAACAATTATGCCACCTAGTTCTTGGATGACAATGGCATTAAGCAAAGTTTTTAAAGTCTATATTAATTGGGGTGTAGTTAATTTGATTCGTTCAATTAATTTTGAGATGATATTTAATAGATTTAGATTTTAAAATTTAATATATAATTTTTTATTTTTAAATTATGACTTTTTATACAAAAGGGTTTATACTATTTGAGATTTTTATATACGAGAACTACATTGATAATTAAATTTTAAGAAACTATGGAGAAGAAAGAAAAATCAATAATAAGAGAAAAAATGGAAAATAATTTTAAAATTATTTAATAAAAATAAAAAAGACTAATTAATTTTTGGATTAATAAAAGTTTTCGTTATTTTTTATTTTTTTCATTCATTTTTAACTAAAAAATGCAAAAGACAAAAGCATATATACAAATTGAAAATTTCTTGTGGAATAGAAATTTGAAAGTATAGTTTTCTTTCTTAGGTTCTTATGAATTGGCATGACAAAGTAGCCTCAATCTGTTTAGGGAAATTTGACTTGGTACAACAACCTCTTGGTTGCTTCAATTAATTAAAAAAAATACCTATTTTATTCATTTGAAATTTGAATAAAATGTTTCACATGCAACTTCAATTTGTTTGTTTCCTTTTTAAGACTTTAATGAGTATGTTGAGAAAATTTAGTTTAGAAATATGTTTTTTTTTTTTGTCAACAATTATTTATTTTCTTTGTGCATATCTTTCATTAAAAAAAAAAACAAAAATTTTTATTTGTTTTGTAATTTTCAAAGAAAGGTTGCTAGATCTATAGATATAAAATAAAAGAGAAAAAAATAAAAAAATAGTGGAATCTTATCCATGGTTGATGACAATATTATTTCTATGTTTTTTTTTTTTTTTTAGTTATTGAAAAGCAAGAAAATTTAATTCAACTTCTTTTGTCGCAAAGCTATGCAAAATTACATTTGAAGGCTATGGTACAAATTAGAAATCTTTTGCTCAATGATAAAAGAATAAAAAGTATTTTGCCATTGCTGATTATTTAATCTCCTATTTAGACGATCTTAAAAGATTTTAAAAATGCATTTTTCTACATTGATTGTTGTAATGGTTTTAGGCCACTAGATGAATTTAAAAAAAAATATGGACTCGTCATAAATATTTTTTGATTATGTGTGATTAGTCACTTATTAAAACTTATATTTTTAATAAAATTTTAAAATTAATTAAAACTTATTAAAAGATAATTTTTAGATTTGCGAAAATAAGTTGGACTTGAGAGTTGGTTATACGTAAAAAATGATTAGCACCTTTACAGTGCTTGTAAAAACAATACCAATTAATTATGTGTTTATTGTAATAAAAAATTTATTTTCATTTTTCAGTTGTTTGTTTGAAAAATAGATAAGAATCTTGTATA